GCGAATAGTTCGCGGTTTTTCTCGCTGCTGCAGGGAACCTCCCGCTCGTTGGCAAGTGTCTGGACCGCTACTGGCAGCAGAAGAAATGCATGGCCCCTGGGTGCGAGCCGCTAGCTGTCGGGCACATGATGGATGCTCTCCGGCCCTATGTCTACGGGCAGTGCTTGGCCGGGGCCGGTGGCGGTGGCTTTCTCTACATCTTAACCAAAGCCCCTCGGCAGAAAGAGGCTTTGCAGCAAATTCTAGCCAAAACCGAGGTGAGATGTGAGCTCCCGGGCTGTCTGCTGTCGCAGGGATGTAGCACGAGCAGCAGGAGCATCTCACCCCTGCCACGAGCGGGATGAGATTGCGTGTCATCCCCTTAACCTTCCCCAGGGCCTTGGAGGCGACAACGGGTCCCTTGCTGTCTGTAACTCGTTTATTTATTTATTTTCTTAGGGACTGGGCAACTTCAGCATCCACAGTATCGAGGTGGACACGGGTGGTTTCTCTGTGGAGGTTGTGGGATGCGATCCGAAGGACAGGGCTCAGCCTGGAGGGGACATGGCTGTGTGAAGGTCTCCAGCCCTCACCGTTCCTGGCGGATCTGCAGGGAGCAGGCAGCTGCCTTCCCAAGTGGGGAAATCCTTGCTGCTGCTTTCGAGACAGCTCCTTCAGCCAGCTCCAGCAGGTGCCTTTGGTCTTGATGGGACCTTTTTGTGCTGCTACTTGCTCCAAAAGCCACAGAGACTGAAGAAGCTGTGACAAGCTGGACAGGCAAAGCTCTCCCTGGAGGGTGGCTTTGCTGGAAGGACAATGTGCTAGGGTCTCCAGGCTGATTTTGGGGTTTCACTCCACAGTTTTTACAGTTCTCCAAAGGGAAAAGAATAGGATTTGTGATGCTGCCTCTAGCAGGAACCTGCGCACTCCCCTTTTGGTGTATGCTGGCTCTTGCACCAAGGACGTGCCTGAATGTGGAATCAAGTACCTCTCCTGTGCTGAGAGACTATTTCTGCAGCCTCCTTGAATAAAAAAAGGCTTGTTCCCACTATGTGTTTATGCTCCTCTGTCCCTAGCAGAGTCCCCTCCTACATCCTGGATAGCAAAAGGGTCTTATAAGACCGAGGCAAAGCTCTTCCAGGCCTGGGTGGGGCAGCACCCCCTGCAGCCCTGGCTGACAGGGGTGTTTGTACCTGTGATGTGTCAATGCCAGCTTGGGAGGAATAGCACGGGGTAGAAGAGGAGGAATGGCGTGTAGCTCTTGTCCGGCATCTCTCCAGCTCCCTCGAGGCCTGCAAGATGCACGCACCACCGGAGGCTGCTGCTCAGCCAGGCGAGGTTTATTTACAAACGCAGACCCGCTTCCTACGGCTTTCCCAAGCACCCTCCCCACCAGGAAATTACTTCTTTTCCCTTTGACAGACCCATCGCACAAGGCCATTTCTAGGATTCCAGTAGCCAACCCATAACCTGGTGGCCCAGAAGGAACACAACTGCAGGTGGAGCGCTCTGCAGACCCATACGTGAAACATGCCACAGCAGCCCCCAAAATTTCTTGACCCGTGGCAAGCAGAATGGGAGGAGTCGGGAGCTAGCTCGTCCCTCAAACTAGCGTTTTCAGCAATAGTGTCACTCCGCTCTCAGTGCGAGAGATTCCTCTGCCGCCTCGTTTCTGCTCCCACAAAAGGACAGCGGCTCCTCTTCCCCAGCCTGGGAAGACCCTTTGCTCCAAGGAAGGTCAGACATCACCCCCATCCCCAGGCCACCTGCCAGCCCTAGGGCAGGACCCAGGCAGGCTCCAGGGCTTCAGCCCTTCTGCTGTTACCTCCAGCGCGGTGCCGAGCCAAGCTCCGACCAACTAGAGGCGCAGGCGCTTGATGTCCTCGCTGCGAAAGTCGATTCGGAGAGCCAGCACCTGCCGGACCTCGGCAGGAGTAAGGCGCCAGGTGAGCGGTCCCGAGTTGGGGCCCCAGTAATCCAGGATCTCCGTCACCTGGAGAAAAGAGGAAAGCTGCAGGAGACAACTCGGAACCAACCGCCCTCACAGGTGAGTTCAACCTCCCCCTCTGATGCTATTTCCTGCTGCTAAACCCCTGCAGGCAAACACCCAGCAGGCACAGGGCTACTTTCCCAGCTTTTCCATCGGTGTGAGAGCTTCTGGATGAGCTCAGGAACTCCCCCGATAAAAGCAGAGGAAGCGTAGCTCACCCTCTCCAGGTTGAGGATGGTGGCCATCTGGGAAAGGCGGGCAAACTTGTCGCGGATGGTCCAGGTGGTGACGGTGGTGAGATAGGCGATGAGAGAGCGCAGCTCCTTGTCAAACTGCAGCCCGCCGAGCTGTGGGGAGCGAGGGAGCTCCGTTAACTCTGCCAGCAGATCCAGGGGTTGTGCCAAACGCGTAATTAATCAAAGTTATAGGAGGGCAAGGGCAGGTCTCTGAGCAGGAGGGTTCCAGTTAGACAATTTACTGCAGGTTCAACTGGCTTACACTGAAACCCACCTTAAAAGCCAATGTCCTCCATGACAAAATACACCTGGTGTGTGCTAATGGCAGGGCCCCCCGAGCTGGGCACTGCTGGGGG